TCGCCTGTCTGGCAGTAAAAGGATTTCCCCCTCCGGTGCTGGGGCCACGCTCACCAGTTCCCCCGAGTGCTCCGTGGTGGAAGGCAGCAGAGGAAGGCAGCACTACCCCACTGTGATTAGACACTTGTCTGCTGGCTGCCGCAGCACAGAGGTTAATCCAACTTCTTTAAGCGTTCGGGGGGAAGTAGGTCGCTGGCTGCGCTCCCTGTGCCGGTTGCATAAGGAATGGGGCAGGGATGGGCTGTGCCCGGCACCCAACGGCTCCCAGCGCCGGTACCTGATGGCTCCCAGGGTGTCAGGATACTGGGGCAGAAGCAAAGCCTGTAAGAAGGTCTGAAACATGAGCAGGGAGGATGGAGAAGGAGCTGTTCCCAGAAGGATGGAGAAGGAGATGTTCCCAGGAGGATGGAGGAGCTGTTCCCAGGGGACACGGGCCATGCTGTGCCCCTGGCAGCTCCGCTTCTGGCAGGGTCCTGAGTGAAGCACCGGGAAGGCTCTGGGCTTCCCCAGCCCTGGCCAGTCCCAGGTTAACAGAGCTGCAAATGTGCTTTATTTCAATCTGGAAGACTTTCCTCAGAATCTGATTTTCAGCAGATTTAAAAGGGGCACCTGCACAACGATCTCTCTGCTCAACGGCACCGAGTGCCACCGGCTCCCGCTGGCTGCTCCTTTGCCTCTCAACACTCCCCCAACACCTTGCAGCAACGTGGAGCAAACTAAGAGAAACACGGCGGGTAAATACCTGAGCAAACAGCAACAGAGGTTATTTTACACTAAAACCCCTTTAGCAAGGCTGCACACGTGCCAATCCCTCCATGGAAGCATAAAAACCAGAGGCACGAGGGGATGGGCAGGCAAGGAGCCCCCTGCCACGGTTATCTCACTGCCCATCACCAGAGATGGTGGCTGGACCAGGCAGAGCGATGCCAGCGGGAAGGAAGAGCCCAGCGCCGCTGCGTGCCCGCCCGGGGATGAGCCACACCTCCAGTCAGCTATTTTTAAAGCAGTTCGTTTGCTGCTTTGCTTCAGCCTTTTCTGCAAAGCTCCCGAGCAAAGCTCCAGCCTGGCGCTGCTGCCGTTTAATGTGGGGATCCTGCTCGGCTCTTCCCTCACGCTGACGCCAGCAGGAACTGCCCGCACAAGCTTAAAGGGGAAAAGCAGGATCTGAGCAGAGCTGCGGCTGCCAAACACAACCGGGGAACAGCTTCTCCTTCCTTTCATCACACCAAACCCAGGCTGAGAAAAAGGCAGAACAGGAGCAGGTTCCCAGGACAAAGGGGGTTGAGCATTACCCTGCACGTGGTTCTCCTGCCTAAATTAGACTCCAGGTCATGAGACGCTCACGCTGCTGTAACAGGGAGCACAAATCCAACGAGGAGCACAAATGGGGTGGTTCTGTGGAGGTCCCGGGCAGAAAACCCCCACAGAAACCCCCCCACCCCAGCCCTGACCAAAACGGGAGAGAGAAGAGAGGCAGGGAAGGAAAGAGAAAAGGGAGGTGCTGGAAAATCTTTTCCCAGATTTCTCGAACGTGCAGTGTGAGATGCTGGCAGGCTGCAGGACGGGAGCTCCAACCCGGAGCTGTGGTTGAGCAGCACAGCTCCTCGCTCCCCACGAATGGATCATACCCTGGAATGCAAAAAAGTATCTGTTTAAACTGCTCCGACAGGATGCCACACGCATATAAGGTGGTACCCTGAGGAAAAATACCATTTCCAAATAAGCAGCTCACGCTGAACATCTCAGCGTTGCTCAAAGAAACCGACTGTTGGCTCACTGATGA